TCATATATTAGTTGACCATAGGTGTGTGGGTTTATCTCTGGGCTTTCTATCCTGTTCCATTGATCTATTTCTGCTTTTGTGCCAGTACCATATTCAGAATGGCCATCATCAAAAAATCTGCAAACAATAAATGCTGAAGAGGGTATGGAAAAAAGGGAACCCTCCTACAATGTTGGTGGGAATGTAAATTGATACAGCAACTATGCAGAACATTATGGAGGTTCCTTAAAAAACTAAAAATAGATGTGATCCAGGAATCCCACTCCTGGGCATATACCCTGAGAAAATCATAATTCGAAAATATACATGCACCCCAATGTTCATTGCAGCACTATTTACAATAGCCAGGACAAGGAAGCAACTTAAGTGTCCATCGACAGAGGAATGGATAAAGAAGATGTGGTACATATATATGATGTAATATTACTCGCCATGAAAAAGAATGAAATAATGCCATTTGCAGCAACATGGATGGACCTAGAGATTATCATACTAAGTGAAGTAAGTCTGACAAAAAAGGACAAATATCATATGATATCGCTTATATGTGGAATCTAAAAAAATGGTACAAGTGAACTTATTTACAAAAAGAAATAGAGTTACAGATGTAGAAAACAATCTTATGGTTACTGGGGGGAAAAGGGGGAGTGGGATGAATTGGGAGATTGGGATTGACATATACACACTACTATATATAAAATAGATAACTAAGAAGGACCTACTGTATAGCACAGGGAACTCTACTCAATACTCTGTAATGGCCTGTATAAGAAAAGAATCTAAAAAAGAGTGGATATATGTATATGTGTAACTGATTCACTTTGCTGTACAGCAGAAAGTAACATAACAGTGTAAATCAAGTATACTCCAATAAAAATTTTAAAAGAAAGAAACAAGGGGTTAAATAAGATAGAATGTATTCCTCTCACACATAAAATAAGTTCAGAGGTTGTGAGTGGAGGAGTGCCCCACTGAAGTACTTTAGTTTTAATGACGATTGAGCTGGGAATGGTGACAGGTCCAAATAGGGAAGATAGAGTGAGGGAGATATCCTTAGGAAACAGCTACTTGATGAAATGTCAAGAAGGACTGAAATGAACAGGACAGGATGAATGCAAGAGATTCTGGAGAGAAGAATCAGATAATTGGTGTTTGAGTGGAAAAGTAGGGCACAAGCAGGAAGGGGAAAAAATGACATCAAGGTTTGGGAGGGCTGCATCTTTGGGGGAAGATAAGTTTCCTTTCAGGCATATGGACCTTGTGGGGAAGGCTTCGATCAGTTTCTTGAGAGCTAAGCCTGGGCTGCTGTGGCAGTCACTCCAGGACAGTGTAGGGACCTCGTGTGAGGTTCTGAAGTGTCAGCCTGATTATGCCGTCCGTGAAGTGGTGCTTTGGTTCTTTCGGGAAGGCACACCTCTCAGCACTGATAAGATAAGTGGAATCAGGACGAGAAAAGTTTGGCTGGAAAATTACTGAAACCTAAAACACACTCTGTATCAACTGGAGAGACCTAGAAAAAAATCGTTATGATGATTGCTGGGAATCCTCCTCTAAGAACCCTTCAGTGCACATTCTTTTTTTTTTTTTAGTTTTGTTTTCTTCTTTTGAAAACAATAATGTTACCTGTAAAAATAAAATGTGAAATATAGAAAGGTAGGAAAATATATAATAAAACAAAGCAGTAACTTTATCATCCAGAGATCATCTCTGATAACATATTTCTATATCTTTATGTGTGTGTGTGTATGTTTGTATAATGGAAATTATGTATTTTATGCCATACTGGGTATATATTTTGTAATTTTTTTTCCAATTTTAAAATGCTGTGAAAAAACATTATGAATATCTTTCCAGGTAACTCAATATTTTTCTTAAACATCATTTATATAGGTTGTATAATATGCCATCACATATTTAAAACATTATAATATTTAACCTGATACATATTTAGAAAGTGCCTGTTGTTTTCCAATGATAAGCAACATTCATGAAGTTAAAGTTTTATAAATCTCTCTCTCTGTAATGATTGATTATCATAAATTCCTACAGATAGAATTTTTAGGTCAAGGGGCACATACATTTTTAAGGTTTTTCATACATATAACCAAATTTCTCTCTAACAGCTTTTTCTTAAATTATAATCCCACCAGGATCATGATCGTGTCCATTTCTTCACACCCTCATCGGTATTGGATATTTTTAGTATTAAAACATATTTGTCAGTTTGAAAAGTGAAAAATGTCTCATTATTGTTTAACTCTTCTACTTCTGTTACTGTGAAAAATATTGTTTAAATAATAAAATATTATTATTGGCTTTTTGTGTGGTCATTTATTTGTATCCCTGTTCCTTTATCTATTTGGATATTTTAAAATATTTTACAAGAGCTTTTTTTTTTTATATATATAGTGTATTCTATTTCTGCCTGTCTTAAATGTCAGACATTTAAGCAGACAAAAATCTTCCCCATTTTGCATTTGCTATTTGTCTTGCTTCTGGTGATTTTATATATATATGAGTGTGTGTGTGTGTGTGTGTGTGTGTGTGTGTATCTAAAATTCTTTTCCTTTTTATGATTTCTTCCTTTTGCATAATGCTTAAAAATCCTTTGCCCACAATAATATTGAATGGATATTCACCTCTATCTTCTAATAGTACTTTTAGGGAGTAGAAGAAATGCACTAAGGGATCTGAGATAGAATCAGAAGACTCAAGCTGCTGGGATGTGTGGCAATAAGGAGGCAGGAGTCAAGTATGACTGAGTTTCCAGGCTTGGTAGACTTTGGGGAGGGTGGGACCAATGACTAAAACCAGGAATACAGGAAAAGGAACAAGTCTGTTAGGGTAGATAATGACTTCAGCTTTGCACATGTTACATTTGAGATGTCCTCCAGAAAGCCTGGTAGAAATGCCCAAAAGGCAGCTGGAACAAGGGTGTGAAATGCATGAGCGAGGCTGGGGTCTTAAGTACAAATATAGAAATCATCAGCAGACACTTGAAAGTAGAACAGCATTTTCTTTTCAGTGCATATCCTGGGCCAAACACTATGCCGAGCACTTCACTGCATTACTTCCTTTAGGCTTCTGACAACTTTAGGAGGTAGAAACTACTATCCTCATTTTATACACGAGGGGACAGGCTTACAGAAGTTAGATTACTTTACTAAGGTATTACGCCTGGTTAGTGGTGGGCCTCAAACGTGAAATCAAATAAGATGGTCTGATTGCTGAGTTTAATCTCTAGCCCGGTTTTCTCTCCTGTCACGGGAGCGGATGAACTCAAGCAGGCAAAGTCGGAGTCCCAAGGGTGGAGAATTGCCCTCTGGAGTGGCGGGCAGCAAGGAAGGGGAGAAGCCAGTGAAGGAATCTGAGAGGGAGATGGAGAGATGGAGGGCCAGGTGTGCACACGCTGACTGACAGTCTAAGCAGAATGCCCACAGTTTGATGACAGGGGCTTATATTTTATGTATTCCTGTAGACAAATGAGACCCCACTCCTGACCCTGACCCTCAAAAAAATCTGTCACAGTGCTTTATGCCGAAAATATTTCTTGATTGGACCCTGATGGTGTGTCAGTAACTTTCCTGAGTTATCCTCCGAGCGAGAGACCGTACCAGTCACTGTGTCCCCACTTGTTATGAATGAGGGGCTCATTCACAGGAGAATCTCAGTATTATTAAGCGATTGACTTCTCTGAGAGTAACAGCGGTAGACTCCTAGGTTTATACCCTCTACACAGGCTGGGTAAGATCACTCCCACAAACGAATAGCATGCCACTTTTTACTGGTGCTGCCCTTTTGCCTGAGTTGTTGAATGACTGTGAGATATATCCTTGTAACTTTGAATCATACATGTTTCTTTTCCTCCTTTATTAGATATTTCCCTACATACTTAGGACTTTGTAAAATATACAGTCAACCCCTTTTCCTTACAGCCTGAATATTTTTAGCAGTTTAGCAGAAACAAAGCTGGAGTAGAAGTCTGGGCCTGGAATTTATCACATGCAAAAGGAATGTGTTAGAGTAGGAAAAGCATAGATTTAGGAATTAGGAGTTATAATTTTCATTCTGTCACTTTTGGGCAAATTATTTAAACTCGTTGAGCCCCATTTCCTTTATTATAAAGCGGGGATTTATACTAACAGAGTGATTGTGAGGTTTAAATAAATTAGCCAAGATAAGTGGCTTGGCACCCAATACAAGGAAACTGAAATTCTGAGTTCATACAGAATCATTTTGCTCCATGTTCTTCTCAAATGCTTGCCTTTTGCCCATTCCATAGCTCATTTCCACTCATTCGTGTTAGGTGGGTTAGAAGGAAAATGAGTCCTAACTCACCATGTCTGTCCAATGCAAATCTAATGTGTGCAGCTACGGTACATAATTTTAGTCGTTGATAAATCTATTGCTGGCAATGATTTAGGGCATAGTCTGGTTTTCTTGGTTCAGACTAATGGAGGCTTCAGAAACTCCCTTGCAACCATTTTCTGATGATAATCAATAAATATCCTATTACAGCTTTTCTTTCTGGTGAAAAAGTCCAACATCAAAATTCTTGTAGACTGAAATGTACTCATTTCAAGCACTTCCCGTACAGAATCCATCTTGGCCTCTTTCCAAATAATCTAAAAAGTGTTGCGTACTTCCAGACAACAGCTGCACCTCTGAATCAATACTGGATGTAACGCCCATGGCAAGTTAGCACGGGTTTTAGACAAGCCTACTAGATGAAAGGGGAACTCTTTGAAGATAAGAGAGAAATGAGCGTCCGCCTTAACTTGGCAGGAACTATTTATTAAAATAGTGATTTAGGAGAGTTTTCAAATGCCACTCTTAGTTGTAGATCTCACTTGAGAACTCTCACCCTCTGCTTCAGGTATGAACATTCTTTAGGACAGCCCTGGCTTGTTCCTGTGGTTTGGTGTAATTATTAATAGTGCCCCCATTCACTTTAAAGAATCTTGGTTTTGATGATAAAAATTTACGGTCTCCTCTCACAGGCCTTTTCAGAGTAAAGTCCATCTTTTTGAAGACTGCATTCATCTAAAAAAAATTACCTTACCTGTCCTACAACAGAGTATTTGGCACTCTGTCTTACAGTCATGTAAGTATTTCTTCAGAACAATAATTAAGAACTACAAAAGCTAATGAATAACTCCTTATGGCTCTCATTGCTGAAAGCAAATAAGGTAACTTCCTAGGGGCTCAACTTACACAGCTGGTCTGGGAGGGAAACATGAGGATTTCAAGTTTATGTTTGCAAAGCCATTTCCAATGATTTAAGTTAGTTTTTCCACTTCATATGTGTGAGTATATGTCCCCACACTGGACAAAAAGGAAACGGAGTCTTAGAGAAATCCGACTCTGTGCTGTCTGGAATACCATTCATCCTTGAATTCTGAGCCTTTGTGGTCTCATTCCCCCTTTAGAGACTCGGATCACCTGCCTTCCTGTTCTTCAGGAGAGGGTGTGCTGTGGTTTAGCAATTTGAGGGTAGTAAGATTGTCAAAACATCCCCGGAGATGCTTTTAGAGTTACTGCGGAAAGCAGGGTTCCACGGTGCAGGGCGGCTGCTGGGAGGAGTAGCCACATGGCACAATCCCAGGTCCTTTCTCTCTGGAGAGAAGGAGGGCCGGCTTGTCAGGATAAAGCCGGGCATCCTTGCGGACAGTCTGAGGCAGATGGAGTCGCAGGCTGAGACAAATGGGTTCTTATGAAGCCTCATAATCTGGGAGTACACGGAGGATAGAAAGACGAGGATGGTCTACCTGTTAGCTAATGCCCTTTTCATCTAAAGAAGCTCTAGCCTGAATCTAGTTTATATTCTATTCCCACCTACCTGCCTTCCTGTTTGCAACCTAGTTCTGAGTAAAGGAAATAAGTTCAAAGCAAAGCAAGGGAGCACAGAAAGGTTTGCCCTCCAAAAACATGAGCTTGGAGAGCCCTTATCTTGGGGGGAAAATATACAGCAGCTGAGGAGAGAAGAGAGCCATGAAACCAGAAAGGAACTATGGCATAATGTTTGCTTTGCAATGGCCCTTCCACAGCCTTTCTCCCAAATCTCCTTAAGTGGGGCTGGTGGGGGGATGGAGTGCAGGATAGAAAACTCCACCTCTCGGGTAATGGTGCCATGGTGGAGGTGGTTAGAAGGCTGGGGTATCACTCTTGCCGGAAGATGTCTAGAAGACCCAGAACTCTGAATTTTTTTTTTTTTTTTTTTTGCGGTACGCGGGCCTCTCACTGCTGTGGCCCCTCCCATTGCGGAGCACAGGCTCCGGACGCGCAGGCTCAGCGGCCATGGCTCACGGGCCCACTCGCTCTGCGGCATGTGGGATCTTCCCGGACCGGGGCACGAACATGCGTCCCCTGCGTCAGCAGGCGGACTCTCAACCACTGCGCCACCAGGGAAGCCCCTAGAGAAATCAAGTTTGTTTGTTTGTTTGTTTTGCGGTACGCGGGCCTCTCACTGCTGTGGCCTCTCCCGTTGCGGAGCACAGGCTCCGGACGCGCAGGCTCAGCGGCCATGGCTCACGGGCGCAGCCGCTCCGCGGCATGTGGGATCTTCCCGGACCGGGGCACGAACCCGTGTCCCCTGCATCAGCAGGCGGACTCTCAACCACTGCGCCACCAGGGAAACCCTGAAATTTTAAAGTCAGAAGTACTCCCCAGAGATCTGGCAACCCAACTCCCTCATTTTACTTAGGGTCTTTCAGGAGTTTACTGAACTGCTAGCCTGGGGTACTCACCAAGCTGCTTCAGTCTACAACATTTAAGAATTATAAACCGAGAGTCCTTTCTTCCCACTGTGAAGCATGGTCATGAGACCTAAATGAGTGACTCTGGAAACGAACTGCAGTACTTCCTGCCTAGCCAGGGAGCTCACTCACCATGCTTGGCGACTGTGCCCTGAGAGGCAGTGAAGGAAAGCTGAAACTTTAGGACCCAGTCCTTAATTTTGCATTCTTTTGCTTAAAGAGTCCCCTCCCCTCAAGTGTATAAGCTTCAGGTCCCAGAAAATCTGAATTTTGGTCTGCGTGCCCCACACAGTAAATCTAAACATCTGATGCTCCAACAGGCTCCTGATCAGAAGACGAGACCAGGTGAGTGAGGATGACTCAGCTGGATTGGCTGGGAAAACATGCTGGGGCCTGTGAAGAGGTTGGATCAGGCATAGCGTTGAGAGCTGGCTCACATGATGTCTCAAACTTCCACCCCCTCCTTGCTTCGACCACCATTAGCTTCTTTGCTTTCCTTTCTTTGTTTCTTTTTTTTGTTAACTTGTGAAAGCTTTACTGTTTTAAATTAATTTTTAAAAACAGACCCAATCTCTAATCAACGTACAATGAATGATCTAGTTTTTCCATTTTGGGTGGTCAATTTTGTTCGTTGTGTTTTTCAAGGAATTTGCCCATGTTGCTTAAATTTCCAAATTTATTCACAGAAAGCTGTTCATAATATATTTTCATTATTTTTTTTATGTCTATAAGAACTGATACTGACAATTTGTGTTTTCTCAAATTCTTGATCAGTAGTACTAGGTGTTTGTCAATTTGTTATTTTTTTTACAAGGAACCACCTTTTGGCTTTGATGATTTTCTTTTTTATATTTGCTTTTAATGCCATTGTTTTGTACTCTCATCTTTATTTTTTTATTTTATTCTACTGTTAAAAATATTAGCTTCTTGCCCAGACCAAACTTGTCTTTCAGATCTACAGAACCAGAATTTTGGATCTGGTGGGGTCTTATTTTGCCATCACCCCTAATTTTTTGCAGGCTCTCAAAATGGCTTAGGCACCTCAGGTCCCTGATTCACCCACCTGCTCCCATTCATGAAGCCCCAGTGTTGGCCAATGCTCTAAGTAGACAGATTACGTGGTCCACTTATTAGATATAACCTGCCTGGTGTGTCCCTGTGTGGGTAGAAATCAACTAATATATTACAAATTGTGTTTATTTTTCAGTTGTCTTGTCTGTCTCTACTCACGAGAAGGTAAAGCTTTTGAGACTAGGAATCTCTGTCTGTGTTATTCCTTATCATCCCAAGCACGAATATATATCTGTTAAAAGAATAAATGGGAAAAAAAAAAAAAAACTCTTTCATACTGAAAGATTTAAGTCTGAATCTGACTTTCTCCTCACTGGCTGTTTGACCCTAGGTACATTACTTAAAATGTCTAGGCCTTGGTTTCCTCATTTGTAAAATGGGAAGAATAATGGTATGTGTTTTTTTTTTTTTTTTTTTTTTTTGCGGTACGCGCGCCTCTCACTGTTGTGGTTTCTCCCGTTGCGCAGCACAGGCTCCGGACGCGCAGGCTCAGCGGCCATGGCGCGCAGGCCCAGCCGCTCCGCGGCACGTGGGAGCCTCCCGGACCGGGGCACGAACCCGCGTCCCCCGCATCAGCAGGCAGACTCTCAACCACTGCGCCACCAGGGAAGCCCACAATGGTATTTATTTTTAAGACTGCTGGGTCGATTAGGTGACATATGTATAAAACCTGGCACATAGCAAGTGCTGGATAGATGCTTGCTAGTATTATTACCACGTAAAATAATCTGACTAGTTGTTTAAATTGTCTTTCAATGCTGCTCAGAGCTTTTAGGATAGGAGAGGTGGAGGCTAAAAGCATGGATGCCCTCAGCATTTACAGCCCAATTATCCTCCTGGTTAGACGATTACTAGTTGAATAGGTGTGAAGGTGCTCAGTGTTCACACCCGCAGGCTGCTGACAGGTCAGGATTACCATTACCGGATCGCCAAGGAAGAAAGGAGGCAGGGGCAGGTGAAATGACTTGCACAAGGTCACTCACCTCGAAAACCAGGGCGTGCCGGACCCAAATCCAGCTCTTATGCCTCTTGAAATTGTATTACCTGCTGCCTTGCCTCCACGCTCTCTCTGCCATATGGGATGGGGGCGGGGCCCGTGACCTCAAGAGCCCTGTGTTCAGCCTGGCTTTTTACTACCGTCTCGGCAATTCACTTAATTTTTTTGACGCTCTCGCTTGCAAAACTTGGAAAATAAAAACCACACCTCCAAGCTTTGTGGCCAAGATCACAGGCGAGAAAAGCACTTCGGAAAGATCGCAGGCGAGAAAAGCACTTCGGAAACTGTAAAGTGCTGTACGAATAACCTCTGCAAAAGGCATTTGCCTTGAGGCGCCCTAACTTATCGGGCCCGGGAGTCCCGATAAGTTAGGGCGGGTCTCCACCCCTCTCCAAGGCCGCGCGGCGCGGGGTAGGAAGGAGGATTAACCCCTGGGCTCCTGTCTGGGCGTTTCTCCAGGCGGCCGCGGAGGAGTTCCGCCCCTCGCCCCGTCCAGTTCCGCCCCGCCGCCTCCGCTCTCTCTCGCCCGCACTCGCGCTCCGCTAGTCTCTCCCGCCCAAGGCCCGGCTGCGCTTCCCCGGCCCGCACTGCAAAGCAAGGCGCGGCTGGCGGGCCGCCAGGATGCAGGTCCCGCACAAGGAGCACCTGTACAAGCTGTTGGTGATCGGCGACCTGGGCGTGGGCAAGACCAGCATCATCAAGCGCTACGTGCACCAGAACTTCTCCTCGCACTACCGGGCCACCATCGGCGTGGACTTCGCGCTCAAGGTGCTCCACTGGGACCCGGAGACCGTGGTTCGCCTGCAGCTCTGGGACATCGCAGGTGAGCAGCGGGGGAGGGGAGAGGGGGCGGGAGCGCTTCGCAGCGGGTCTCCAGTCTCTGGGCAGCGGCTTGCGGCCAAGTGGGAGACCCAGATCTCCTGGGCGCTGCGCCGCACGAGACTTTTCCCGGTGGGCTGGAAACTTGGTGTCAAAGAAAACAGTTTCTCTCTCGCGCGCAGAAATTTCAAGTGCATTCACTGGAGCTTTGGGGCTGTTGCTTTATCTCCCTCCCACAGCCTCCCCTGGGATCTCTCGCCCCAGCGCGGGCCTCCCGGGGGACCCAGAGGGAGAATACCCGGAGTTGCATTCAATTCTTGGTCTCCAGCTCATTTTCCGGGCACGGGCAGTCCCGCCGGTGGCGCGGCCCTGAGTGTCCTGCCCGCCCTTCTGTGCTTGGGCCATCGACGGGAAGCCCCTAGACCCGTTCACAGCGGGAACCAGGAGAGTTCCAGGCTAGAGGAGTTTCCCAATTCCAGTTTCCAATCTCTCACTGCATTCCAACTTTTGCTACCCCCCTTTTCTACCCTTCAATCAAGCAAGTTGGACGTTCTCTGCTTTGAGAAAGCTGAGGAACTTTCTGTGTATGTATTGGGGGTAAAGTATTATTTCTCTCTCTCTTTCTTTCTGTCTTTTTGTCTGTCTGTCTGTCCCTCTCTCTCTCTCTGGCTCTCTGTCATCTATGAAAAGGAGACTGAGTATTATTTTAGGGCCATTTTTGTCTAAGGGTCTATGACATTAGCCACAGATTTCTTGATTTGTCCCTAAAGTTTTCACTGAGAGGTCTGGAAAATGAGAAGCATCTTTACAATGTTTGAAATCAGAATTTGATTCCTAGGGTTTGTACCAGAAGTTAGGCCTTCAGTCTAAGCTTGGAGTATAAAGAGTGAGTCCTTGGACGGAGGCTGTTGGCAACCTGGGCATGTCTAACCCCTCATTACAGTTACTGGCCCTGCCACTCACTTAACCTGCTCAGTGGCTCCAGAGAAGTCCCTTCAGCTCAGCTGCACCCCTGTTAAGTTGGAGAGTGGTTGGACAATGACATCTTAGGACCCTTCCTGCTCAGAAGTTTTAAGGTCCTCTGGGATTCCCTGTGAACCCCTTCAAATAGTCCGCTTCACTTCTGCCTATTTCATAGTCTGTGGCACTAGGAACCTTTATAAGTGCTGGACCCAAACTGGCCGCTTCTCTTGCAGAAAACAGGTTCATTTTAGCTGGTGCGTTTGACTGGAAACTCTTTATCATGGCCTGAAGCGAGAACAAATGTGGAAAATTTTCAAAAAGGCGTTTCTGGTTCTGGGGACTCCAGTGCCTCTTTAATCATGAGCTTCCAGGTCTTATGATAAAACTCTTGGCATCTGAACAGATTCATGCCTTTGGTGTCATTTTTAGCAGCTCTAGTAGCACAGGGGTTATCAGAGACCAGAAGGTGTCATTGGCCACTATCTGATTGGGCTTTATACCTAGAAAATCCTCTATGAGTCTGTGCACTTCGTTGCTGCTTTTTTCAGTGTCTGACAACTCTTCCGGCTGCATCAAAGTCTCTAGGACCGAAGTTTAGAATTAGCTGACTGTTTGAAGGGGATGTAGCTGTAATTTAGATTTTTATGTGAAAAGCAAATAATGATGTGACCTCAGACATGTTACATAATGTCTGTGGGTCTCAGTGTCATCACCTAACAGGGACAATAGTAGGGTATAAAGATGAAGAGCCTAAATTCCAGAGTCGAACTGCTTCTGTCTGGATCCCTGTTTTACCCCATATGTCCTGGGTGATTTTAGGCAAGTTCCCTAACTTCCTGGTCTCAGTTTCCTTGTCTGTAAATAGATAGAATGCTTTCTCTCAACAAAGGAGCAAACAAGAGATGAACAACCAGCAAATGCTAGCTATACCCATTAGTACTTACTACCTAGGAGAGCTGCATGGACTGTTGTTACACTAGCTACCAATTTTTTTGAACGTGTATAAACGCTAGGCAAGAAGGACATGATGTAAATGTGCTAATTAAACCTTGTTAAATGATAATTCCTGGTAAACAATGGGCACATATAATGTATTCCAAACATCCAGCACTGTTTTCCAGCTTTGTCCATATTACCACATGCTGTCTTGAGCAATTTCATTCCCAAGCTTCGAAATACCTCCTGAGCCATGAGTCAGTTCTGAAGTTGCCATGGAGGCTATAGTTGCAGAAGTCTGTATAAGTAAGAAATCTGAGGAGCCTTGAGTCCTATAGATACAGTGGTGTGCACCATCTCTGTAGGGAAGCTTCATTTTCCCGGAGCTCTGATGTTTAGTGCTAACCTGTCTTTGGCAGCCTCCAGCCCAAAGGCCCTGTGGGCTGAGTTAGAAGTTGGGCAGCAGGCAAAGCTGGTTGGGGGGAAGTTGGGCCATTGTGGGAAAGGGTGACTGGAGCGCAGTACTGACATGTTTCAAGCTGCATAGCTGGTCCTGTGAGGAGTGAGTTCATATGGAATCCAACCTCAACTTCCCAGCCAGACTTCAGTCAGCTAAGTGTATCTTATAGCATCTTCAGGTCAGCCTGTCTGTCCACCCTTGAGGAATGCTTCTCTGTCTCCTTTGTGCTCACTTCTGGTGTGTGTCTGAAAAGAACAGGTCATGAAAGCTGGGGGACTTGCGTTGAGATTGCCGGGGGTGTGGATGAGGTAGAGGGGACA